GCACTATTTTCGGCACATGTCGGTCATTCGTTTGGCGTCCGGTATGTTGGCCCCGCAGGGGTGAAACAAAATTGTGCCCCGGCTTTTGCTGCACCATACTACCAGAGGCGGTGCGGCAGCTGAACGAGAATTGAAACAACGTATTTTGATTCGGGGAGGTGGGACCAATTATTGGAATCATTTCAAAAATGAACTACGCTTTTTCTACACACCTTACACAATTTTCAATCATCGAGTTCGATAGCAATGGACAGGGCTTTGGCACTACAAAATCTGCATGGAAAACGACATTGCATTCAAAACTTTGGGGAATGATACCGAACGGATTGCGCGAGCACACATTCCCATCGTTATCCGGAACGCTCTACATATCGCTCACAACATTAACTGAACTAGAAAACCGGATCAGGGGAATTTCCGTTGGAAATCGCTGAGTAATTACGAAGACTTTAGCGCGACAATTCCGTACCCCCTTGCAAAATACATTATGGCCGATCAATTTTAGACTATGCAGCGCAATTGGCCTTGATGCGGCAATACATTTCCTGCGGTACCTTTTGGAAGCAAATTGCCACAAAATCAGCATGAATTCAAAGATGGCGAGACGACAATGGAACAACACACACACAATTTTGCAAGAGGATGGCGGAAAACAAAACGATGCGTTCATGCCAACTTTACTCTGCTTGGCATTGCATTCCGCATTATGCCGTATACGGGACAATCTACCACCAAGCGCAGAAATCGCTGCATACTTGGATGATGTTGATGTGATTTAATCCAGAAGACGTCACACCCATGCTTCGCGGTATTACTGAAAAATTGTTGCGAACATATCAATATGGGGAAATTGGCTGTTTGGGAGAAGCCCGTGCACAGAAGAGCTCGCAGCCGAAGGTCCAACAACATGGCGATCCGAAAACCCTTGCAAGAACGGGGGATCAAGATTTTGCGAGCTCCGTTTGGGAGTCAGGAGTACGTGACTACTACATTTGGGACCACATTTGATGAACAAAGACGCAACTGCTTAAATATTTGCCGAAATTCTCCTCTTTGCAAATGGCTTGGTTACTTTTGTATTACTGTGACGTGCCACTACTTAATCAAAACTACGTTGCCATTGCGATTATCAAGAATGAGTTTGCGGAGTGCCCGCCGCACTAGTTATGCGGCATATTGGGCTAATTGGGCAAATGTATTACCTGAACTTCTTAATAGATTTCCCGACACAAGTCTCGAGATATTACACTGCCTTACCCGGCTACACAACACCACGCACGGGCAGCAATTGGTGGGACCATTTTGTTTACGTAGTGCAGAGATGGGGGGGCACCACTGTGCAGCAGCGGACCGTCCTACCTGGACAAATCTAGCTCTTGGGATGCGTCCTCCAGAACTTGACGAACACGTCATATTATTCGGAGAGTTCCAGCATGGATGGCAATACTATGCATCACGGCCACAACACAAGTGGTGGGGGCTTCTGGGGATTGGTCTGCAGTCCGCGGTAGCACGAGCCGTGCTACGCGAAGAAGCAGATCTTCCCACCGTACAGTTAGAGCCTACACCACCTATTGCAGACCTCACTGTGGTGTAATCCCCTCCTCCTCCTCCTCCTCCTCCTCCTCCTCCTCCTCCTCCTCCTCCTCCTTTTTCCCTGCTTAGCCGAGCCGGGGCCTCATCACTAATGTGATGCGTTCTGGTTTCACCGCCGCTCGCTGCCGTTCGCGCTGGCGGTCACTTGCTTAATTAAAAACAATTCACAAGAGCGCGAATGATTTTTCTTGACGTCGTATAATTTCGCGACTCCGGTTTTAACGCACTAGGTTTTTGATGGATTTTGGCGTGCACGTAAGATGACGCGTGCGCGTGCACTACGTCTGGTTTCTCTTGTTTCTCGCACCAACGCGTGCCGACAAGCGTTCGAAAAATTTTGGCATGCGCGCGTGCGAATCTTGTTTGGGGTAGCAAATCATTTTGTTGATTGATTTTGTGGCACTTGATTTTTCCCTGAAATTGTAAAACAACAATTTGGCATGCGCGCGCGACAACGCGCGCGTGCTCGTAGAATTTATTGCAAATGGTGCTTCCGTCTTTTTCCCATGTCATTTGCTTGCTTGCTCTTGCGTACTTGTTCTTACTTGCTTACTTTTGCTTGCCTTTACTTGCACTTGATCGCTGGCTCTTGCTCGTTTGTTATTGCTCGCTGGCGTTTTCTTGCTTCCGCTTGCTGGATTTTGCTCCTCCCGTTCTCCTCCCATCCTGCTCCCGTCCTCCTTTCGTCCTCCTACTATCCTCCTCTCCTCTTCTTCGTGTTCTCCTATCTATTTGGCACTACTTGGACTGCATAATAAAGCTTATACCACAAAGATCGCACCATACGTATTTTCGCATACCCCCTCGATTATTTGTACCTTTTTTTCGTATTGCGAAATCAGCCAGCGTTGACTCCCAATGCGTGGTACTGTTGAGTAAGCTGTGTGGTGCAATCTACGCATATGCTTGTTGGAGGCCACACTGGTGAACATGTTTCTTCCTTGGGGCGACGACGAAGCGGCTACAGGCGGCGAGCAATAACGTGGCGGCAACGGGGCGACCACAAACCGGCCGGGGCGGCACACGAGCCCGCGACGAGGCGGCGACGGGCGGCGACCGAGGGAGAACAAACCGCATTGCCGGCAGACGAGCACAAGTCCTTTCAAGCCAAAGAACCTCGAAATGCAAAACACGCTATGCAAGTTCACAATCCAAACAAAGGCTCCAATATTTATCGACATCGGTTTCCGTATCAACCGAAGTTGGCCCCATATCCAACGGTATCGGTGTCTGAAACATGTGTTGGGATGCGCTGGAGGTAAATTTGGAAGCCGAACCCAGGATTTCGATACTGATTTCGGTTCTGCCCTACGGAAGCCACTGTCGTCCGTGACGACGCGTCGTCCCTGACGAAAACACAGATCAGCATGGGACCCGACATCGTCGTGCCACGGATTTGGTGGTATCCATTGCACAAATGAGTGTCCTGCGGGAAGCCAGTGTCGCATATTGTGGAAGCCGTTGTTCAAAACTTTGAACCTTTGTCGACGATGCCGATTCCGTTGCTAGCATTTGCTGATGCACTTGTCGCTGTTTGACAACCCGCCATTCTTGGTTGCCGATGCGGCTGTTGTTGGCTGCCGAACCCGTTGCCACTACATGCTGCCGGCTTGGTTGTTGCCGGTTGCCAGCTTCCTTGTTTTCGGTTGGCGAGGACAATCGGGGAGCACGCTGGAGCATCGAGCAATAAAAAGCACGCACGAAGACGACGAGTGCGCGGGGAATGGATGTCCGAGCGATGGCAAGATCCGAGTAGGTGCTTTCCTCGAGCCGCGGCGGTTTTCCCCCGACCTTCCAATAAGACAACTTCTCATGGCCGTCGATTCCGACCTTCCGGTTGCCAGTTCCGTTGCTCGGTTGCCGATGCCAAGTCTGACTCGGGCAAGCGCGCTGGTCGTGATCGCCCACGGCGCCCGGACGTCGGGATCTCGGTGCCACGCAAAACCAAAGCGGGCACGGGCGCCGCCCTCTGAAAGAGCTCTCGTCGTCGAACACCACCGCGAACTGGGAAGCTCCTTTTCAGGCACTCTGTACCGTCGCCCCCGACCTCCCTCGTCCCGACTCCTTCATCCCGTGGGGCCCCAAGTTATATTTTTAGAAAAAGAAAAGCGGCACGAACAGAAATGTTTGGCGCTCCGCGTGGACTTCTCGAATGTGCACTGGATCCTCCCTGGCGCGCGGAGCGCGCCAGCGGCGGCGCTGGAGGCGCCGCCGGGGGGCCCCAACGCGGATTCAAGAAATCCGCGCTGAGCGCCAACACTTTCTGTTTATGCTGTTTTTCCTTACATTTTTTGGGGGCGGCAACGTCGGAGCGAACCCGCTTCTGCCAGGCGAAAGCGTGGGGATGCCACGAGAGGCGAGCTGGTGGGGCACTGGGAGGCGAGGACAAGCGGCGCAGAGGGCGGGGCCCCGCACTCGCGACCCAACCTCCTCACTCTCGTCCTCCTCCCCCTCGTCACCGTCCTCGTCGTTGTCCTCCTCCTCATCCCCCGTCCTTCTCCTCCTCCTCCTTCTCCTCCTCGTCCTCGTCCTCGTCCTCGTCCTCGTCCTCGCACTCGTATTCGTACTCGTACTCGTACTCGTACTCGCACTCGTACTCGTACTCGTACTCGTACTCCTCCTCCTCCTCCATCTCCTCCTCCTTCTCCTTCTCCTCCTCCTCCGCCTCCGCCTCCTCCTCCTCCTCCTTCTTTTCTTAAGGCTCCGCGTGGAGGCCGCGCAGTGGGCCGTTTCTCGCGGGCCCCCGGAAAGGGTGGCGGGGGACGGGCGCCGCGGCGCGGAGGGCAGAGGGAGGACTCGCCCGCTTCTGCCAGTTGCTGCTGCTCGCTCTGCCCCCTGCTTTTTGTGTGATAGGTCGGGCATGTTCTCCTACAGGTGGATCGAGGCTGAACATAAACGGTGCTTTTCGTTTTCGTTATGTTTTCGTTTTCCCTCGCTTTTGTCTCGGGTCCGCGTTTACCGCAAGACGAAGTCGGAACGAAAACAGCCCGCAAAATCGCCAAAAACACCGTTCAGGGCCAGTCCCGAGGTGGATTCTGGAAGAAACATGAAACATAGCCGACAACTGCTCGGGAATAGCACAAGATAGCAGAACAGTAGTCCCCAACTTATCTATGGACTGTTTTGGAATTGTCCTCCTGTAGAGGGACGTGGCCGCTTAATCTTTGTGGTCCTTCATGGGGGCCGCGGAGGGTCCCAAACTCCCTCGCGGCCTGGGGGGTTTCGTGCAGGTTTCGTCGGATGTGGCCCGCATCTGGATGGAATCTGGACAGAAGAGCGAAGAGGGGTAGCCGAACTCGGGACGAGATCTGGTCGAAACCACGTTTACGAGAAGGCCGCGGAAGTCCACAGGGCCCCCCGTGAAAACCCACCCAAAGCAGGGCGTTGCACGTCGAGCGCCGGGCATCAGCGGCGAAAGCATCGCTGAACAAAAACTGTCAGGATCATGGATTGAGATGCGGGCGAATAAAAAAGATGTGATGGGGCCGTCTCCCCATCGTTGGGGCAGAGACGGGAGGCGCTCGTGGGCGCAGGGGATTGAGCTAGGACGCGCATGTAACGAACAATCTCATCTCCACCTATCGCAAGACAGCCAAAACGGCATCCGGACCTTCCTTGACGGAAGCGATGAAAAGTGGCCCAGGCATTGCACGACGTTGTCAACACCAGACTCGCAGCACAGGAACAAAGCTTTTGGCCACTCGGTAGGTCTGTGAACGCATGTGGAACAACAGGCGCTCGTCCTGGAGCCTGAACATTTCCAGAAAACCACGAGCACGCGAAAACTCATCAGTGCAAAGTGCAGTGCGTAACAGAGTAGCACGAACATTGTGCGCGGCTGGGCGGGCTCGGTATGAAATGCCATAGTTCTCGAGATCAAAAAAAAGGCCGCGGGGTAGCGAATGCCTGGGGGCAACGGGGGGCCTTTGGAAAGCCTCGCGTTCTGTGTCCTGAACGCGCTTGTTAAAGGATGAAGCTGGGCAGCCTGTTGAATGACATATTGACAGTCGGTGTCGTGCATGCGAAAATTTCCCTCAAGGCCTGCATCGAGACTCTTAACGCACCTGGCCCGCTTCGTCAGAGCCATGCAAGGGCCGGCCCAGGAGAGAGCAAGCCCATCGAGGCCAAGGGGGGTCCCAATATACTTGCCAGAGCGCCCGATCACACTCGATGTTGCGCTGATCTCGTTGGCCCTGCAGTCCCGGCGAAAGATTTCCTCTTCCTGGTCACTAGGCAGCGCGAACTGGCGCTTGGCTGGGCGCAGGACAAGGCCGGCGATCCTCGCCAGCTTCATGAAATGACCCGCCATCTTCCTATGAACGGCTCCCAGACCGAAGGCATCAATGCCTTGATCGTCAGCGCGCGCATGGGCGAGCACGGACATCACTGCGGCCGCCGCGGATACTTCTGCGCCGCGCGTGGATCGAGCGCGAGGGCGCAGTGGGGGGCCAGACAGGGGGCAGCCCTGTTTCATGCCGCGTTCCACCATGAACTCGCCGATAATGACGCCCCCCGACATCGAGCGCGCATGTGCATCTTATCACATGGTTGCGCATGTTCAGACAATGCCAGGAGAAGGGCGGCCTCATAAACAATGCACTGCGTGCACCTACCATCCAGCGCCCACGTTGCCCACCTGGGACCGACCGCCAACGAGGCCGCGCTGCTCGCTATCAATTGTGCGACGAGCAACTTGGTTGAGAAGTTGTGGGGGAACGCTGCCTATCCACTTGCGACCGCGGTTGCCCGGGGCGAGCGGGCGAATCTTTTCCGCGGATCTCATCGGCTCTGCCTCCAGCGCGCCCTTCGGAAAAAAAAGCGAGATGAACATTGATGAATTGCTCAAATATTTCCCTCGCATCTATGATGAGACAATACAAGTCGTGTGATATCTTGCGCGCAGTAATCCCTCCGTGCCTCCGCCCCGAGTGAGGGGTGCCATCCCGGCCGGGGCTCGAGTCTCGGGGCTCATTGATCAAAAGTTCGAATACTTCTTCATCCGTCTTCCACAGTGCGCCCTGCGGAGCTGGCAGAATCCACCGCTTAAGATATCGCATGCCCCCCTGGCAGGGGCAGAAAGGGCAGGCGACGTTCGCCGCGGTCCTGCTGCAGGCCAGCGCGCGTATGGGGCTGGGCGAGGGCGTTCCCGAGGGGGCCAGCAAGCCCCTCGGGCATCGCCTGTTTGTGGCGGGGGGCCAAGGCCCCGAGCGCGGGGGGGTCTCAATCTTCGCTAGCCATGCAGTCCTCACCTGCCCAGCAACAATCTCCGCTCATTCTTCTTCGAGTTCGGCTCGACTCAAATCAAACATGCACTTGTGAGACATGTCGGCCAGTAATCAATCGTCAGAAACAAAATCCAACGTCTTCGGGAAACGGCGAACAGTTGACTTCACGCGGCCCGAGCTATTTTTCCTCAGGGCCCTGTCATTGGCCGTGCGCGAAGAGATCTCGTGCCGATCGTTTCGGAACTGTTCGCGCAAGCCCCGTGCCTAATTTTCCGGGGCGCGTTGCCCGCGATCGATGCCGCCTCGGTGGCGGCAGCGTCGGGGCCCCGAAAAACACCGAACTCCTGAATCGACTTTGCGACCTTCTCCGCGAACTCGGGCCGGGGACAAGCCCGAAGGGGGGTCGATGGGCAAGCGTTCGGCCTCTGCGCAGCTGTGCAAGTGCAAACAGGAACATGGTCACTCTCTTCACGAGACCCTGCGGGCTGCCACTCGACTCCAGTAGCGGGTGAATGCGAGGGGGGCCGAGGGAGGTAATGATGCGCGTGCTCTGTCAATCCGTGCTGCGCTCATTTACCCGCCGATTTTCTGTGTAGCGCGTGATGTTCACCGGCGAGTTCAGTAAATCGTGAGAAGAACCTGCCGGACTCACTTGCAAGCGAGACACTTGGGGCCCTGTCCAGCGACGGATCAACGCGCCGCCTCGCTTCGCCGAGAACGCAGAAATTCCGGCCACCACCTGCGAAAAAAAAAGGGGGCGCGGCGGGTCAAGCGATGCGGTCGCAACAAAGGGGGCCTGCTTCTTTTCGGCAATGGAGTCATTGCAGTTGAGGCGAACAGAAGAATTGAAGGCGACCTGGGGGTCCTCTAATGTCAAGAGTAATGCGCCTGCCCGCTGCCATATTCATTGGAACCAGCGTAGTAAAGTGAGGGTGCAAGCGATCGTGGGCGCGTATCAGAACGCCTCCAAACATTTCGCCATCGCAGAACGAGCCGTAATATTGTGTGTGTGCTTGTGTGCTTGTGTGTGTGTGTGTGTGTGTGTGTGTGCTGTGTGTGTGTGTGTGTGTGTGTGTGTGTGTGTGTGTGTGTGTGTGTGTGTGCGTGTGCGTGTGCGTGTGCGTGTGCGTGTGCGTGTGCGTGTGCGTGTGCGTGTGTATGTGTATGTATATGTGTGTGTGTGTGTGTGCGTGCGTGTGTGTGTGTGCGTGTGCGTGTGCGCGGTGGTGGCGGCGTGTGCGTGTGTGGGTGGGTGGGTGGGGGGGGGGGGGGCAGAAGACCAGGGGGGGATATCGAAGTCCACGGCGCGTCCGTGAGACTCCTGATTTCGGAGGCAATCGAATTTCTCAGCAAGGCGAAGAAACGTGTCACATGTTTTAGTTTGGTGCTTGTGAGCCTACTCGGGGCACCAAAAAAGTGTCGCGGCGTTCCAGCTGCAGAAAGACACCTTGCCGCGGGGGGCCCGGGAGACACGCGGAAGGGGGGGGGGGGGGGGGCGGCGCTCGGCAGCAATTTCGGCAAAGGCACAAGCAGAGCAACGCGGTCCTGATTCACTTCAGTCGACTGTCAGCTCAGGTTGAATGTTTCCATGATCGGCTTCATCGTGTCATGCGTGAGCCCCCGCTCGAGACAATCTGATTCGACCCGCTCGGCGCGTCCATCAACATCGACGCGCGTGAGGTTCCATGCGCCCGTCTCCGTGGTCGCCGAGTTCGAGAAACCAGAGCAGCCCAGCTTTCCTCTCTGGGTGTCCCAGTCCTGGCTCATCTTGAGCAACTTCATCAGCGGGATTCACGCTTGGCCGAGGTGCCTCTGACGCATGCGGGCTTCATGTGGGAGATCTCCGCGGCAGCGCAACTGCGTGACAGCGCCTCCTCTGGAGTCGTTCCACGTAAGAGAATTCATGCTAAACCAAGAACTGAACGCTTTAGCAGAAACTCGGAGACGAGCGATGGAAATGAGGGCCAGCATCATGATGAGGGATGCTCGACGGGAGATTGGACACTATCGCCTGCCACACCTGCATGCGAGCGATGTCCAATACCTGCCCCGGAAATGTGCCAATACAGCGAAGGCAAGTATTCTGAGCATCGACTGCCGCAACAAACGATGTCCAATCACCGCCTGAGGTCGCAGCCGTCGAGGAAGCCGATGAACCAATGAAACCGCCACGTCGCCATTTCGGATCATTGGACCATGAGGACGGCGCACCATATTCTGAGGCGGGTGAGGCAATTACAATGTCGCCCTTCAGCTTGTTCATCGCCACCATGCACCCATCATATTTGCTATGTAACTTACCCAGAGGCCGGGGGTATCAAAAACCAGATGCACTCCTGCATCTGGCTTTTGATACCCCGGCCTCTGGTTTGAGCGGCATGAGCTCCTTCATTGGATTGCCTGTGTTCCCTGTCGCCTGCATCATCAGCATGTGATCGCGATCCTGTTTCTCCTGCGTCCCTTTTTCAAAATCTGCGCGATGGCCGCCAAGTCCGCCATGTGGGGTGAAGGAAGGGGCCAACTGCGTGTTTGGAAACAGAACTGGCTGGAAGCGTAGCGAGTGCCACAATGCCGCGTGTTTTGGCGCACGTCTGGAGTGCGCGGTCTAGCCTCGATCAGGACGCCGGGGCCACCACTTGGCAGCGTCCAAATTCGAAGCGCCTGGGACGCACGTGTCGAACTTGAGCCAAAATAGCTACGGGAGGAGGAGGAGGAGGAGGAGGAGGAAGAGGAGGAGGAGGAGGAGGAAGAGGAGGCGGAGGAGGAGGAGGTACCTTTTCCTCTCTGCTCTGACCTCCTCCGGCTGCTGCTGCTGCTCTCCGGTGCCCCCGCTCGCCCTCGAACCCGCCCTGGGGCCGCACGGGCCTGCCGGCGCCCACCCTTCGCTTGCCTGGAGCTTTCGCCGGCGGCTCGCGGGGCCCGGCTCGGCTCAGCCCGCGCCAGCGGCGGCCCCGCCTTGGCGGTCAGAGGGGGAGAGGGAGGAAGGGAGAGGGATCCTCCTCCTCCTCCTCCTCCTCCTCCTCCTCCTCTTCTTCCTCCTCCTCCTCTTCGTCCTCCTCCGCCTCCTCCTCCTCCTCCTCCTCCTCCTCCTCCTCCTCCTCCTCCTCCCCCTCCTCGGGCGGGAGCACGATGGCGACGATCGAGGTTGGGCGTTCTTCTCTGCTAGCGTTTCGCCAGGGGGCTCTCTCATAGTGGCTCAAAGAAACCCTCCCAAAGAGAGATATAGAGGCCTCTCAGATGGGGTCCAAGTGGATGGGGTGGGAGGCTTGCACCGCGTCGCTCATGCATCGCCGATGCACCAGCGACGCATCGGCGACGTCGGCGATGCATCGGCGACGTCGGCGTGCAGAAAGTTGGGCATCCACATCGAGCCGCATCGCCGAGGCGTCGGCAATGCGGCGAGATCCTCCGACCCCGTCTACTCCGACCCCACCTGAGAGGCCCAGAAGATAGCGTGCCATGCAACCCGTAGGTGCGCGCCATGCCCGCCCAGGCGGGAGGGGAGAAGAAACTCGGTCCAACATGCGCCCACATGTGTTCGAGGCTTGAAGTGTGCGGGCACTTTTGTTTGGGACATCCGCAGACCTCTGGAGACCTCCAGAGACCTGCGAAGCCTGCGGAGACCTCTAGCCTTCCTGAGACCCTGACCTCCTTCGTCACGAGATCAACGTGACGGCTGGTCCAGCCCTCCTCCTCCTCCTCCTCCTCCTCCCTATTGGCGCAAATTGTATAACAAAACTCGTCTTCTCTCTTCCGTTTGGACGCCCGAAATGGGTACGGAAGAAATGGGTACAATGCCCAACAACAAATGTTGTCCCAAATCAACAGCGGCCGCTGTTGGGCAGGCGGCCTTCTGTCTCGAATGGACACAGGCCGCGGCGGCGCGGACAGCGAACCCTGTCCAAAATGAACAAGAACTGCTGTTGGGCATTGTACCCATACTTTCGGTGCCCATTTCGGGCGTCCAGATTCGGGCAGGGGGACGCCTGCCCTCCCTCCTCCGCTGCGGCACTGGTGGGGGACGCGAGGTGTTAGACGACCTTTTTGGACTCCGATGGGGCGCTAATGTGCCCATCGACGTCTCAAGATGGCCTCCAAGAAAACTTAAGACGGCTCCAAGATGGCTCCATCGACGCCTCCAAGATGGCCCCATCGACGCCTCAAGATGGCTCGCCTCCGGCATACCTCCGAGATACACACGTGATAGCGGAGCCCCGAAGGAATCCCACAAGAGGTCCAAATGGCCCCCGAACCAAATAGGGATCGGCCTCTGAGGCTTCAAGGTGACGCCGAGATGGCTGGCCGGGCCCGCCCGAAGGTTTCCCCCGGGGCCGTAGGCGACCCGAGGAGGGGAGGGCGAGGATGAGGATGAGGATGAGGATGATGATGATGATGAGGAGGAGGAGGAGGAGGAGGAAGAGGAGGAGGAGGAGAAGGAGGAGAAGGAGGAGGAGGAGGAAGAGGAGGAGGAGGAGGAGGAGGAAGAGGAGGAGGAGGAGGAGGAGGACGAGGAGGAGGAGAAGGAGGAGGAGAAGGAGGAGGAGGAGGAGGAGGAGGAGGAGGAGGAGGAGGAGGAGGAGAAGAGGATGAGGAGGAGGAGAAGGAGGAGGAGGAGAGGAGGAGCCGGAGGACGGGTCGCCTGAGCCCTTCGGAGACACCCTCCGCGCCCGAGGTGTCGAGCTGGCGCCCCCCCGCCTCCCGAGCTGGGCAGGCCGGGGGGAGGCCGCGGAGCGGCGGATCTCCCGCCCGGCCCACGTCCGCTCAGCATCGGGCGGGCGGTGCACTGAACCCGCAGAATATAGGGGGAAACAAACCTACCTCGCTTTTGACCACCCTCGCTTCCAAGAGATACCAAACGATGCCAAATTGCAGCCTGTGCTGGTCAGGCCGCTTGACGAGGAGGCGCGTGGTATGCTTGGTTTTGCCTGGAAGCGAAAGCGGGGTAGGTCACTCACGGTCTGAGAATAAGGATGCGCGACAAGGATGCGAGGGCCGTGGGCGCCCGTCGCAAGGCTTTTCGAGCGGGTCGCTGCCAACGAAGGCGGCGAAGGATGGGCAGGGGAGGCAAGGACGCAACGGTACCCTTGGGAAGGTGGCCCGGCCTCGCTAGGCGGGCTGACCTCCAGTGGGTGTGACCTAGACGGGGGTGGAGAGAAGGACCCCACAAAGGGCCCTTCAAGGCCCCATTTGGGCCCCTGCTGGCGACCCGCTTCTCCACCCCCCAGCTGGGCCACCCCCTCCATTACCACCTGCCCGAAAATGGGACCCCGGACTTATGTTGCTCCCATCGTACTTGAGGACCACACCCCAAAAATAATCTCGAGCACCCTGAGAAGCATCGAAACAGTGCCGAACGAGTATCGCCTCCCCGGGCCCGACGCGCGACAACCCTCCAGCTTCGGCACCTTCACGTGGTCGTCGCCATTCTTTCTGGTGGCCAGAGCTGAAATATGTTGGAAAATCACCCCCCCCGGACCCCTCCCAAGGCCCATCCCGACCCGTTTCTCGAAGCGGATCCAGCCGGGCCGGGCCGGGCAGCGCCGCCGCTGGCTCGACGGGGGCCCATCGTACCTCTGCGCGCGCGCTCGCCCCGCCCCCCCCGGCCGCCTGCGGCCCCGTCGCCCACGCCCAGCTCCTCCACCAGCGCAGCCCGACGCTTCGAGCCGACTGCCCTCCCCAGCGCCTTGAGGGCAGCCTTGTTCGGACTCGTGCCCGCCGCGACCATCTGCCGGAAGACGCGCTCGGCTGCCACGGCTCTCCTTCCGCGGGGCTCGGGACTCGGGGCTCTGCGGGGGTTCTGGGCTGCGGGAGGCGGCGGCCCGCCAGGCGGCCGCTCGCAGTCCGCAGGGCCTCCCTCGTCGGTTGGGGGGGGGAGGTCCTGCTCTCGTCCGCCTGCGAACAGGCTATGAGGCCTCGTAGATGGGGTCGGAGTAGATGGGGTCGCAGCATCACGCCGCATCGCCGATACATCGGCGATGCATCGGCGATGCATCGGTGATGCACTGGCGATGCGCGGGCGACGTCGGCGGTGCATCGGCGCCGCCAGCGTGGAGGACGCCGATGCATCGGCGATGCGGCGCGATCCTCCGGCCCCATCTACTCCGACCTCATCCGGGGTACCTAGATACACTGCGGATAGCGGCGCGCTGCCGCTGGGAATCCGGGCTGGCGCAAAACATACTGTTAGGTCGGGCGTGTGCCCCTACAGGCGGATCTTGTATGACAAATCACACATCGCCAAACATACACAAACATAGTCGAAATATCGTCCCCCATTTTTTCCATTTTGGGATCTTCCTCCTGCAAAAGGACATGCCCGACTTAAGCGTGGAAGCGCTGCCGATAATGGCGCGTTGCCACCGGGTCTTGGGTGGGCGCAAAATATAACCGACTGTTCCCGATAACAATCCCCTGGGGATAATAAAATTCGGGGGTCTGGCGGGGATAATCAACAATTTTCCCAGGGAAGATCACTTCAAAGTCCAATCGGTCCTCATGGCCCTGCCACGCGTTCCTGACTCGGGAACGGCTGAGAAAGTGAGAATCCCACGGCCCTGCCGCACGTTCGTGACTTGGGAAAACTGAAATGGTGAGACTCCCATATCCTCGTCCTCCTGATCACCAGATCACGGGAGCCAGGGTCTTGCCGGCTCAAGCGTGGCCTCGCGCAGGAGCGGGGGGAGCGCGGGGCTACCAGGCCACCTCTCGAGCGACCCAAACCCTTGGAGTCTGCTGGGGATTTGAGGTGGCCCAGCACCAGTTCTGGGGAGTAGGGAGGAGGCCGAAATTCTCAGTTCTTGGTTCGAGGACATGCTGTTTGTTTTTTTTCTGCCTCCGTGGGCCGTTTCTGGGCCCCAGGACCGTCGCAAACGGACCCGGGATGATCTGCTGCTCGTGGCACACCTACTCACTCCCCCATGTCGGCCTGCCCTATCCCCGTCTCGTCCTTCTCCCTCCTCCCTCCTGCCTCCCTCACCCCTGGTCCTGGGTATCGCGTTGGCGCACGCCTGGAGCATCAACGCCCATGTCACCTCGTTCGGCTGTAACCCTGCACTTGACATGCGCTCCAACACGGTTGCCACAGAGTCTGGGTCGCCTTGGCGCGCGTAAGCACCTACCACCGTGTTGTACGATACGACGCTGGGCGTGAGCAGGTCCTCCTCGATCTTCTCCAGCCAGCGCAGAGCCCCAGGTGGGTCCTCCCCCCTGGCGTGGCTGTTGATCACGGCGTTGTAGGATATGACGTCGGGCCGCAGGGCGCTCCGCGCCATCCTCTCCAGCCGCTCCACGGCCAGCAAGGCGTCGCCCGCCTTGGCACAACTGGAGATGGCCGCATTGTGCGCCGCAACGCTGGGCCCGCACTGGCACTCCTCCATCTCCCTCAGCCACCTGTCCGCCCCGTCCGTGTCTCCGTGCTGGGCGCAGCTGTCCACCAGCGCGGTGTAGGAGATCTCGTCCGGCGTCAGCCTGGCGTCCCTCATGGCGCGCATCCAGCCCGCCGCGCCCTCGGCGTCGCCCCGCTTGGCGCAGGCGTCCAGCACCGCGTTGTAGGCGGCCACCCTCGGCTCCAGCCTCGCGCCCTGCATCGCGCGCAGCCACTCGGCGGCCTCTCTCGCGTCCTTGCGCCGCGCGCAGCTGCTGATGATGGTCGTGTACGTGTACTCGTTCGGCGCGACGCCGCTCCGCATCATCCTGCCGAGCCAGCGCGAGGCCTGGGCCGTGGCGCCGGTTCTCGAGCACGCGTCCAGCACGGTGTTGTACGAGAGCACGTTCGGCGCGCACTGGGCCTGCTCCATCTTGCCGAGCCAGTGCGCGGCTCCCGCCGAGTCGCCCCGCTTGGCGCACGCGTCGGCCATGGCGGTGTAGGACACGCTGTCCACTGCGCCGCCGTGCTGAGAACCCGCACCGCGGAGCAGCTCGAGGGCGCGCCCCCACTCCCTGCCTTTGGCGCAGGCGTCGATCATGGCACCGTAAGCGACGGCGTCGGGAGTTATCTGCATGTCCAGCATCGCGTGGAACCAGCGAGAGGCACCCATGATGTCGCCCTGCTTCGCATAAGCATGGACCACGGTGGAGAAGGGTATCTTCGCGAGGAGCAGGTTGAGCGCCTGCAACCTTTGGATCCATGCGACAGCGCGCTCGACGTCTCCTGCCTTGGCCGAAGCGTTGATGGCCATCGAATACGCTTGCATCTCTTCATCATCGTCAAGACTCATCGTCGCTTCTACGAGACGACGTGTCTTCGTCGCGGGATGAAGCAGCTCGAAAATCCACTGCTCGGCCAAGTAGAGGAGCCCGGCGTTGGCTGCAGACTCCACCAGCTTGCCGAGCGTCTTGAGGTTGACCCGTATCCCATGGTCGACCATGTCCTCGAACCACGCGCGAGCACCGCGAGCGTCCCCCGCCTTCGCGTGAGCCTTGAGCACCAGGTTCCAGAGCATCGTCTGCTTCGCTACGGGCGCTCGGGCGCTCAGGACCTCGAAGGCCGCGGTCGCGGCCGCCACGTCTCCCGCGGCGGCGAGCGAGTCGAGCCTGGGATACCAAGAGGTGCCGACACCGCTACTCCCTGGACCTCTCCTGGGGTGCGCTCTGACCTGAATCTCGAGGCGAACCCAGCGGTGGCGACGCGGGCCTCCCAGGAGGCCCAAGAGGGGGAAAACGAGGGAAGGGCAGAGGTGAGCGATCCAGGGGCCGTTGGTTTCCCCCCCCCCCCCAAAACTGCATGGAGCGAGTTTCTCTCTGTAAGCGGGGCCAGACAAGTAGCGATCGTGCAGATCACTCTTACGGACTGAGCAGAAACCAGCACCCTCATCTGCGGAGAAGTCTTCGCGCCTGGCGCCTGCCCGGGAATCGCGCGAGCGGAGGGACCGGCTGCAGAAGTGCTTGCTGGCTGGCAGAGCACGACGTCATCTGACGGTCGTCGATGACGGTCGAGGCACCCCCCCCTGAGGTCGATGAGGGTCGAGGGTCGATGAGGAGGTCGTCGATGAGGGTCGAGGTCATCTATGAGGAGGTCGTCGATGAGGTCGTTCTGCCCCTGCGCGCCTCGCCACGCCGCCGCAGGCGCCGTCGGGCTCGCCCCTCTCCAGCGCGCCCGGCGCCCCGCGCCCGGGCGGCACCGCCGGCGGCGGCGGGGGCGGCGACCAGGGGCCGGCGCAGGGCTCGGTGGCTCCAAGGTGGGGCCCTGCAGGGGTGGGGGGCCCCGAGGACAGGAAGGGATCCAAGGGCGGACTTGCGCTGTCTCAGGCACCCTCGCTCCCCTCCTCTCCTCCTCTCCGCCTCCCCTCCTCTTCCTCCTTCTCCTTCCTCCTCCTCCTCCTCCTCTCCTCCTCCTCCTCCTCCTCCTCCTCCTCCTCCTCCCTCCTCCTCCTCCTCCTCCTCCTCCTCCTCCTCCTCCTCCTCCTCCTCAGCTCCTCCTCCTCCTCCTCCTGAGGGGTGGGGGGGCCCGAGGGCGGGAAGGGAGCCCAGGGTGGCCTTGCGCTGTCCGAGGCACCTCGCCCAGACAGCGCGAGCCCAGGCGCCTCAGGCAGCGCAAGCCCAGCCTTGGATCCCTTCCCGTCCTCGTGACCCCCTCCCCTGCAGGACCCCATGTTTCGAGCCGCCGAATGGCTGCGGCGGCGCCCGCGCGGCGCCCGCGGCGGCGCGCGCCGGCCGCGAGCAGGCCGCGCGCCAGCCGCCCCAGCGGCGCGGAGCGGCCGGGCGCATGGGCGGGCGCCTCCCATGAGGGCAGGCCCGCGGGGCACCTTTGCCCCTTCCGCCCCCCTCCCCTGGCTGGTCGACGGCGGCAGGGCCGACGACGACGACGACGGCGCCGCCGACGACGACGACGACGACGACCCGCAGCTGTCCTTCCCGTGGCTGCGGCGGAGCCGGCTCGAGGCTGGCAGCGCGAGCCTCCGCGCAGGCCGCCGTCGGACCAAGAGCAGGGTCGGAGGCGTGGCGGCGCGATGGTCGAGGTTGCAGGGCGGAGCGTGAGAGAGCTCCAGCGAAGGGTGGGGCGAGAGAGCGAGAGATCCTCCTCCTCCTCCTCCTCCTTCTCCTCTTCCTCCTCCTCCTCCTTCTCCTCCTCCTCCTCCTCCTCCTCCTCCTCCTCCTCCTCCCCCTCCTCCTCCTCGTCGTCGTCCTCCTCCTCCTCCTCCCCCTCCTCCTTCTTATCCCCCTCCTTCTCCTCCTTCTCCTTCTCCTCCTCCTCCCCTCTCCTCCTCCCCCTCCTCCTCCTCATCCTCCTCCTCCTCATCCTTCCTCCTCTCCTTTCCTCCTCCTCCTCTCCTACTCCTCCTCCTCCTCCACCTCCTCCTCCCCTCCACCTCCTCCTCCTCCTCCCCTCCTCCTCCTCCTCCTCCTCCTCCTCCTCCTCCTCCTCCAGAGAGAAGAGGAGACAAACGAAGGAACGGGGAACTGATGGAGCGGCAGCAGGTCAGCGGAGGCTGGGCAGCGCTGCCATTCACCATATGGGCGCACCCTGAGACCCTCCTCCTCCTCCTCCTCCTCCTCCAGAGAGAAGAGGAGACAAACGAAGGAACGGGGAACTGATGGAGCGGCAGCAGGTCAGCGGAGGCTGGGCAGCGCTGCCATTCACCATATGGGCGCACCCTGAGACCCTCCTCCTCCTCCTCCTCTTCCTCCTCCTCCTCCTCCTCCTCCTCCTCCCCCTCCGGCTTTCTCTCAATATACGTGTGGGTACTCGGATGCTGGGCCCCCCTTGCAGGACTGACCGTAGAACTGGACCGTGAAGGCGACCATCACGAACGTTTCGTGCTGCTCACCCTTATCCTCATTCCATCGGTCCATCGACCTTGAAAATAAGAGTCCGCAGCGGAGACAACTCGGCATCGTCTGGTGTTTTCCTGCGCGCCAAGCCTGTTGCGGTTGGAAGAGAGGGAGAGAGAAACAAAGAAAAGAAAGGGTAACAACCATACAGAGGAGCACAGGTGCATACACATACATGTAAACGTCATACTTACACGTACGGATAATCGAGGGTTCTAGAAACATATATAGATAATGACACATACATCGACACACACATGCATGTATACATATGTTTCCATCTATGCACATACTCACATATGCACATATACATGTATATATACATATATGTATATAACCAACGCATGTATACACAACAGCCGCGCGTGCGCTTCGCACGCGCGCGTAGGTTATAACGCGACGCGACCCTCGACAACCGAATCACATACATACACAACAATAATGCGCGACGCCACTTAGGAGCACAAACTCCATGTTATCGTCCTTTGCTCTTTTCCTCGTGCTCCTGCTGGGTATTCTCGGCGGCCGCGGCCGAGAGAAGGAGGAGTAGGGAGGAGGTCGGGACGCAAACTTCCGATGGGCCAGGAGCGTCGAAGGAGCACGAAGGAGGAGGTGGATACAAGAGGAGGCAGGGAGTGCGTAAATCAAGGAGGGGCGAAGGGATGATAGGGGGGAGGCAAGGGCGGAGGAGGAGGAGGAGGAAGAGAGAGGGGAAACATCGGGGAGGAAGACAAGCTAGCGCCAGATCTGTCACCGTACCCTTCCCACGAATCTCTCACTCCGCGCTGAAGTTTCTCCACCCGCCGACGGGCGTCATGGCGGACCTGAAGCCCCCCGAAATGAACCATTCGTGTTGGGCGCAATTGGAGGTGGGGAGGAGGGAGGAGGAGGAGGAGGAGGAGGAGGAGAAGGAGCAAGAGAGGAAGAGGAGGAGGAGGAGGAGGAGGAGGAGGAGGAGGGGAGGAGGGAGGAGGAGGAGGAGGGAGGAGGGGAGGAGGAGGAGGAGGAGGAGGAGGAGGAGGAGGGGGAGGAGGAGGAGAGGGGAGGAGGAGGAGGGGGGTAAATCTATTCACCGCCGAGAGCTCCAAGGGGGGGATCAAAACTAACGACTTCTCAAACTTATGGGGATGGAATGGTCTACGGGCCAAACCTCCCTCCCGGTCAAAACGGCGCCGGGCTCGGGCCCTGGCTCGCCTGCAAGGGCGGCCAGGTCCCTGTCAGTTGTTTTCCCCACCCGACAAAATCCCAGGCATGACCGCGTCGTAAGAAAATCAAGACGGCAAATTGTTCACTATTTTTGGGCGTGGCTTAATGGGGGGGTCACAAATGGGGGGGTCAGAAAAGGTCCCCTTTCGTGCCCCTTTCGGGCCCCTCCAGAGCCCCAGGGGGCTCGCTTAGGTACCGTTTGGGTACCTTTTCGGACCACACTCGCCGCCCCCCCATTTATGACCCCCCCATTACGCGGCGCCCAATCCAGCCCTTCGGGGCCCTCGCCGGGCCTCGGGACCGTCAGAAAACGACTCCTCGGGGATCTTCTGACCCGGGTCAATCCAGACCCGGGTCAGCAGGAAACCCAAAACTGCAATACAGGAACAAAAAACTGCAACGCAGATCTTCGCAAACCCGGGTCAGCCAATACGCGCGGCCGCCTCGCAGCCACGAGCGGCTCCCTGACACGGGTCAGCCAGAGGGGTTTTTCGCAGGATCCTGCAGGATCCGGCGCCCTGGCTGACCCCCGTCTGCATTGACCCCCGTCTCAAAGCTCCCGAACTCAGGACGAACAACCGGTTCCGGGGAAAGGGTCGGGACTTCCAGGGTCGCCGTCCTGAAAACATCAGGACGTCGCATGGCTGGGTTGGGGCTGTCAGATGTCAAAAATTACGCTACCGAGGAACCCCACATACATATATGATGGCTGGAGAGATGAGAGCTGAAGTGAAGCATGTGAGAATGATGTTGGTGGCCGTTGCCCCGCCGATACCGCTGTGCCCTGGACGACCGTCATGGATAGCGGCCGCGGTGAGAGACCACCCCCTGCGCACCCCCTTATGGTGTCGAGAATATGTCATGCCTGCTGTGCCCTGGACGACCGTCACGGATAGCGGCCGCGGTGAGAGACCACCCCCTGCGCACCCCCTATGGTGTCGAGAATATGCCATGCCTGCCGAGCACGGACAAGCCAGGTCGGCCTCCTGGAGAAGAGGTAGAGGGCAAGGAGGAGGAGGAGGAAGAAGAGGAGAGAAGGGAGGAGGACCATCGTGCATAGCGGCCGAGCTCAGGGACCACCTCCTGCGCCCCCCTCTGGTGTCGAGAAAGTGCCACGCCTGCTGTGCCTGGACGACCGTCGTGCATAGCGGCCGCGCTCAGGGACCACCCCCTGCGCACCCCCTCTGGTGTCGAGAAAGTGCCACGCCTGCTATGCCTGGACGACAGGCGCGTATAGCGGCCGCGCTCAGGGACCACCCCCTGCGCCCCCCTCTGGTGTCGAGAAAGTGCCACGCCTGCTGTGCCTGGACGACCGTCGCGCATAGCGGCCGAGCTCAGGGACCAGCCCCCCTCTGGTGTCGAGAAAGTGCCACGCCTCGCTGCATAGCTCCGAGAAAGTGTACGCCGGCTCGCGCTCAGGGACCACCCCCTGGCACCCCCTTCTGGTGTCAGAAAGTGCCACGCCTGCTAACGTGCCAGCCGCGCGTCAGGGACCACCCCTGCGCGGTGTCGAGAAAGTGCCACGCCTGCTATGCCTGGAGACCGGCGACACCCCCTGCATCCGGTGTCGAGAAAGTGCCACGCCTGCTATGCCTGGGCGACGGGCGTATAGAGACCGCAGCGAGAGACCACCCCCTGCGCACCCCCTGGTGTCGAGAAAGTGCCACGCCTGCTATGCCTGGACGACCGGCGCGTATAGAGACCGCAGCGAGAGACCACCCCCTGCGCACCCCCTATGGTGTCGAGAAAGTGCCACGCCTGCTATGCCTGGACGACCGGCGCGTATAGAGACCGCAGCGAGAGACCACCCCCTGCGCACCCCGTATGGTGTCGAGAAAGTGCCACGCCTGCTATGCCTGGACGACCGGCGCGTATAGAGACCGCAGCGAGAGACCACCCCCTGCGCACCCCCTATGGTGTCGAGAAAGTGCCACGCCTGCTATGCCTGGACGACCGGCGCGTATAGAGACCGCAGCGAGAGACCACCCCCTGCGCACCCCCTATGGTGTCGAGAAAGTGCCACGCCTGCTATGCCTGGACGACCGGCGCGTATAGAGACCGCAGCGAGAGACCACCCCCTGCGCACCCCCTATGGTGTCGAGAAAGTGCCACGCCTGCTATGCCTGGACGACCGGCGCGTATAGAGACCGCAGCGAGAGACCACCCCCTGCGCACCCCCTATGGTGTCGAGAAAGTGCCACGCCTGCTATGCCTGGACGACGGCGCGTATAGAGACCGCAGCGAGAGACCACCCCCTGCGCACCCCTATGGTGTCGAGAAAGTGCCACGCCTGCTATGCCTGGACGACCGGCGCGTATAGAGACCGCAGCGAGAGACCACCCCCTGCGCACCCCTTATGGTGTCGAGAAAGTGCCACGCCTGCTATGCCTGGACGACCGGCGCGTATAGAGACCGCAGCGAGAGACCACCCCCTGCGCACCCCCTATGGTGTCGAGAAAGTGCCACGCCTGCTATGCCTGGACGACCGGCGCGTATAGAGACCGCAGCGAGAAACCACCCCCTGCGCACCCCCTATGGTGTCGAGAAAGTGCCACGCCTGCTATGCCAGGACGACTGGGGCCACGCCTGCTATAGCAGGACGACTGGGGCGTATAGAGACCGCAGCGAGAGACCACCCCCTGCGCACCCCCTATGGTGTCGAGAAAGTGCCACGCCTGCTATGCCAGGACTGGTGTCGTCTTGTGTGTGCGAGTGTGTGCATGCGTGCGGCTGTATGTAGACGCGTGTCGCCGAGACGTGCTGTGCTGTGCTCTGCTGAGCTGTGCTGTGCTGTCCTATGCTGTGCTGCGGTCTGCTGTGCTGTGCTGCGCTGTGCTGAGGAGGAGGAGGAGGAGGAGGAGGAGGAGGAGGAGGGGAGGAGGGCGGGTGTGGGGGAGACGCGGGCGCGGCGCGGCAGGGAAGAAAACCAGAACCCCACGAAGCATGTGGGGAACAAGCCCCCCAGGGCACACCCCACCCTGCATACCGCGGCCGCCAAGCCCCAAATTGTCCCCCATACCCCGAGCATCCCGGGTGTCCCGTATCGCGCCCAGCCAAGCCCCACCCTGCACACCGCGGCCGCCAAATCCCAAACTGTCCCGCGCTTCCCGAGCATCCCGGGTGTCCCGCCTCGCGCCCAGCCAACCCCACCCTGCATACCGCGGCCGCCAAATCCCGAATTGTCCCGAGTTTCCTGAGCATCCCGGGTGTCCCGCCTCGCGCCTGGCCAACCCAACCCTGCATACCGCGGCCGCCAGACCCAAGTTGTCCCGATGATCCCGCCTCGCGCCCTCGACGAGAACACGACAGGACACAACATAACATAACAGAGCCGAACATAACACAACACACCTCGACATAACACCTCATATCATGACACATCATCACATAACTAGCATAGCGACGACGAACACGACATAACACAACATGCCACAATCTAACATGACATAACCTAACACGATCATGGCAGGCACTGACATACCATACCATAGCAATGGCATGACAATACAGAGCATGTCATAACAACACATAACATGCCAACCAAACCACGACATACCATACTCAGACATACCACAACATAAACAACAACGATCATACGATAAAACACCCTGATACAACATATCATAACATAACATAACATTACATACCACATCATAACACGGCAGCAGAGCATAGCGACACAGACAAGCATGGTACATCATAATACACTATACAGAGACGAGCCGTCAACCAACATACCATCACACAACACACCAGAACAAAACATGCCAGAACATGATACGGCATCACACATCATAAAACAACAGTGTCGAGCATAGCATACCACACCTTGATAATAATAGTAAACCGAACTGTCAACAACATCACGGGACCTAACATACTATCTTGAGCCGAGCTGCCAACAGCATCGCGGAGCAGAGCAGGCTATGACATTGCCCGACATACCATAATTACCATGCCATACGATAATGCCACAGAGCAGACCATGCCAGAGCATCTCAACACATATGGTGACCGAGATGAACATAGCTCAACGCACGCAGTCGGAAGCTGCACGCAGAATCCATCCTTCGGATCCTCCACGCGCCCAGCGAGGCGAGCCCCGGCGGAACACACAACCCCCCGCGACACGAGCCCCAGCGACACGAACCGAGCCGGGGCAGCCTGGGCCCCGGCGCACCGAGCCCGGGCGCACCGGGCTGGGCGCGCCGCGCCGGGCGCACCGGGCCCTGCATGGCGAAGCGAACGCCCCGGCGAGCCCCGAGGCCCGGCGAATTCCACACCCCGGCGCACTGGGCCCTGCATGGCGAGCCGCGCCCCGGCGAAACGTATCCCGGCGAGCCGAGCCCCGACAGCCTGAGCCTGTTTTTTTTAAGACTCTGGCAAGTTTACTTGCATGGACGGGGGGGGGGGGCTGAGCCTGAAGCAAGCCCGGGGGGGGGGGCGCGGAAATCACGCAAGTCGAAAGGCACTTGCACGCTAGTATTCGCTTGAAGAGGGGCGAGGGGGGGGGGGCGGACGCCATGCAAGTAAACTTGCCTGAATCCAAAAAAAACAGGCTCCCTCCGGCGGGCCGACCCCCCGCGTGCCCCGCCAGGCAAAATCGCTCGGGCCCTCCGTGGCCCGCTCGCTCGCGGCTGCGGCAGGAGGGCACAGCGTGTCCGTCTTTCGAGGATCCTCGGGACGTGTGTTAGCCTTAGTGGGCCCTGGAAACGACAGGGCCGTTTTTTTACTGGTTCCGTTTTGCCGTTTCTTTGCCGGTTCCGACGCCGGTTTTTTACCGGTTCCGTCGCCGTTCTGTTACGGGTTCCCGCTCTGGTTCCAATCCTGGAGCCGTTTTTGTTGCCGTTTCCGGTCGCCGTTTTTTGGCCGTTTCCGTTTTCAAGGGACACTTTTTCGGAAACGGTGCAAAAACGGCCCTGCCGTTTCCGGGGCCCACTAGGGTGCTGGCCCAATGTGTGTTCGCCCCGCCCCCTTCAGCCCAATCCGTCGATCATCGCATCGCCTTCGTCGTAGTGAAGGGCTTCAGTGGGCAAGCACACGTTGGCGATAACACCCCAAACATGCGCCGTCCTGATTTTTTCAGGACGGCGCCCCTGGAAGTCCCGACCCTATCCCCAGGACCGGTTTTTCGTCCTGAATCGTTTTTTGACGGTCCCGAGGCCCGGCGAGGGCGCCCAAGGGCCGAAAATAGTGGAAAACTTGCCGTCCTGATTTTTTTACGACTCTGGGACACGTGCTGAGGACCATCGAATCTCGAGCGGCCTCCGCTGTCGGAGGGTCTTCCTCCGGCTCGGGCCTGGAGCGTCTGCGCCCGCGCTGCCGCCGCACCGAGGTTGGGAGCGGGGACCGACCGTCCCGGCAGTCCTAAGAGGCCTACCACGACATGTCCTGAGAACAAGATGATGTTCTAGGACCAGAAACGAAGTTCTGAGAGCATGGCGCCGAGGCATTATCGGGTCGGGCGAGAGGGGGGGATAGCAAAAAGGGGGTGTTTGAGAATCAGCTCACGCAGCTGATTTCCCCGGCGCCTCCCGGCGCCGGAAGCGGCTATGTATCGAGGAATGGGCCCCTCGGTGAGGCCGAAACCAGCTGCATGCAGCAAATTTCGTAACCCCCCGTTTCCCAATCCCCCCCTGTCGCCCGGCCCGATATTACATCAAAACAGCCTCAGCCAGCCAAGTTCTTAGAACGTGTCGCGCGAACCGCGAAAGGTTCTTAGGACATTCTTTGGTGGGCCTGTGGGCAAGCCAGGACGCTTCGCCACTGCTTGACGAGGGTGCTGTGGCAGGCAGTACCGAGCAGATGGGAGGACCTGCTCGGGACGAGTCTGCCGAGAGGTCCGGCGCCAAAGGGGGGTCCGGAGGGACCTTTTTCCAACACGCGCGCAGTGCGTTATCCTGGAGGCCAGCCCTCGGCTACACGCAAAAGTGACCCTAGGCAAGAGTGACCTGCAGTGCGCGGATTAACCCCAGGAAGCATTTAAGAACCCCCCCCCCCTCCGGCAAATCGATAACCCTTCCGCACCCTGGAAGCGTTACCTGGCACCAGTAGCCCTCCTTGTGTCCGGGTGCTACAGCTATCGTTCGGTTATTTCGGCCCCTCGGAATATCGAATAAAAAATGCGGTGCTACGATATCGCCGTGGGGTTTCTTAAATGCTTCCTGGGGTTAAGGGGGCGCCAAATGGCGAAATCCATGCGCGCAAACAGCCACTCTCGGATCGCGCTCGGCGACCGGGGGGGGCCGGTGAGCCCGCGCCGACGGCCACTCCGGCGAAGGGATACTCTTTCGTGCAGTCGAAGCCCCAACAGCGCCGCCTGCGTTGGTTTCGCGGCAGCGTTGGGAGCACTTCAATTCTCTGAGGGCGCGAAGCAACAATAGGCAGGATCGAGAGGTGCGTCATGCTTGTGAAATGGATACGTGCTGACTTGCGCTGGAGAGCACACCGCTCAGACGATGTGTGATTTCCCACACTGCACACGGTGTAGATCCCGAGGAGCGATCAATGAATGTGAGAGCACACGGTCGATACTCTGAACGCTGACGGGCTAAGACAAAGAGAGAGAGAGACATGTACAAAGAAAAAAGACTGGCATTCATGAGTTCGTCGCGATTATTGCAATAACATTTTGGCAGCAGTAAACTGTAAATTCTGAGGAGCAAAGATTGGGAGATGATTTCGATAAGTTCATCACAATACGAAATCTACTTCAAGCAACCAAGATCTTGGTAACCCAAACAAATGGCAATGTAAACGTGTATCCACGATCGAAGAATCCGCTGACCCATCGGCGTGTGTGAGACGCTGTCGCCGTCTTCGTCGTCGTCGCCAGTCCCAGGTCAATTGAGGAGCGAACAGAACAAATACCCTGTGACGTACTCAACCCTTTCTATACATGTGTCGATTATACTCAGGACCACTCAATGCTGACTGGCCTTCTGAAGGACCCGCAGTGCGCAAGAAGAGCACCCAGTAGTGATTTCAGAAGAGCGCAACAGAAAGAGGAATGGCAAGCATACAAAACGGAAACACCGGGGCGTTGAAAGAAACGCGCCCAACAAGTGAACACAAAATGGCGCGGCGGCGAGGGCTAAAACAGAACATCAGTTTAACTCAGCAACGCGCTGCGCTGAGCGGGGCAAATGCATGAGGCGCATAATGGGGGTGGAGACTCATCCAGAAATGGAGACAGAAGGGCGCGGCAGCGAACCCAAAGAGAAACACACCAAAAGTGGAATCAAAAGGTCGCGGTCGCGAGAATAAGCAGGAGCGCACAACGCAGGAGGACGCGGTAGAAAAAGCGGCCAAAAGTGGTTATAAAAGAGCGCGGCTGCGGCGAGGTCCCGAGGTGGTCCGCGTATGACGTACCTCCGCTGGGCCTCCCAGGAGCCCACGAACGTGGCGACAATTGCGCAGATCGCAAGCCCCCCAAGGAACGGCGAGGTCCCGAGGTTAACGTACCTCCGCTGGGCCTCCCAGGAGCCCACGACAGTGGCGACAATTGCGCAGATCGCAAGCCCCCCAAGGAACGGCGAGGTCCCGAGGTGGTCCGCGTATGACGTACCTCCGCTGGGCCTCCCAGGAGCCCACGAAAGTGGCGACAATTGCGCAGATCGCAAGCCCCCCAAGGAACGGCGAGGTCCCGAGGTGGTCCGCGTATGACGTACCTCCGCTGGGCCTCCAAGGAGCCCACGAAAGTGGCGACAGTTGCGAAGATCGCAAGCCCCCCAGGAGGCGGCGAGGTCCCGAGGTGGTCCGCGTATGACGTACCTCCGCTGGGCCTCCCAGGAGCCCACGACAGTGGCGACAATTGCGCAGATCGCACGCTTCCCAGGGGGCGACGAGGTCCCGAGGTGGTCCGCGTATGACATACCTCCGCTGGGCCTCCCAGGAGCCCACGAACGTGGCGACAATTGCGCAGATCGCAAGCCTCCCAGGGGGCGCGGAGGTCCCGAGGTGGTCCGCGTATGACGTACCTCCGCTGGTCCTCCCAGGAGCCCACGAAAGTGGCGACAATTGCGCAGATCGCACGCCCCCCAGGGGGCGACGAGGTCCCGAGGTGGTCCGCGTATGACATACCTCCGCTGGGTCTCCCAGGATCCCACGAAAGTGGCGACAATTGCGCAGATCGCAAGCCCCCCAAGGAACGGCGAGGTCCCGAGGTGGTCCGCGTATGACGTACCTCCGCTGGGCCTCCCAGGAGCCCACGAAAGTGGCGACAATTGCGCAGATCGCAAGCCCCCCAGGGGACGCGGAGGTCCCGAGGTGGTCCGCGTATGACGTACCTCCGCTGGGCCTCCCAAGAGCCCCCGCAGGAACCAGACGGCAGGAGAGCGCAGAAGGCAGAAGCGAGGAGGCGGGAGAAGGAGGGTGGAGACCACACTGCTCTATTCCAAACGAGAACCCAACACAGAAGGGTTGGGACAAAAGCCTCGTAGTTCAGTCGATGGCCTTTTATCTTTTCCCTTCCCTGATAAAGGGGGGGGAGAGGGGGGAGATACGGGGGGGGTCCTGGCTCTGGTCCCTGCCCTGGCCCCAGCCCCGGCCCAGGGGTCCCGCCGGCCCAAGGGTCTCGGGAGCGGGCCCCAGGGTCCGGGGGAGCTCACGCCTTCAGGATCGGCGGCACCGGCCGTAAGGCCTTCACAAAATGAGGAAGCACGCCAGCAAGTATCCGAAGAGTGCTACAGATCACCACTAGAGTGCTGGTAGACGAGCGTTGCTGCGGCTAGCTCGGAGAACGATGTTTGTGATCCTACCAGCCCTCTGGAACTATGTGGTTTAGCGGGTCCAGTCTTCCATACCCTCTTCTTTCCCTGCGGGGGGGGGTCGCTTAATGGGGGGGCGATCAACGGTGGGGGGAGACAGATGCCCTGAGGGGGCCCTAAAGGCTCAAAAGGGGCCTTAAAGAGGGGCTCTAAAGGGGCCATAAGAGGCCCTAAAGGGCCCCTCTGGGGGCCCTAGAGGGCTCCTTTCTGCAGCCCTCGCTGCCCCCCCCCGTTCATCGCCCCCCATTGCCACGCCCCCCCCCCATCCGTGGACGATCCCTATCGTGCTGGGCGGGGGACCCCGATGTTCCACGATCCTTCCCTTCCTCTCCGGCAGGGGCGCTCGACCCGAGAGAGAGACCGGCGGAGTGCCCAGCGGCCCTCACCCAGGCTGCCGCTTGCCCTGGTCGCCGCTCGACCTCCTCTGCTCGATGAGCCTGGCCGTGCGGCAGCTTCCGTAAGAGGCGAGCACTCCCGACCAGCTCGGCTGAGCTGCCGCGAGGCAGCTCTCCGCTGTGCCTGCGCTCCCTCGGACAGCTGCCCCGCCCACGCCATCGTCCGCTCTGCAAGCTTGAAGGGGCCCCAGGGCACACACACATAGATACACACAAATAAACATACCACCCACACTTTCCATTGTTTTTGTTGTTTTTGCTTTTTTCTGTCTTCCCCCCCACTTCCCAGATTTTCCCACAGTGTCCTCGGAATCGACGATTCCCTGTGTCTGTGTGTGTGTGTGCTTTTTTCCCACTCCTGAAAGCCCAGCGACCCTGGCCGACTCCCTGCTCCTGCGTGCAGATCGGGTACGCTCGCACGCGCCCGGGGGGAAGGGAGACCGAGGCAGGGGGGGGAGGATGAGGAGGAGGAGGAGGAGGATGAGGACACGGAGGAGGAGGAGGAGGAGGAGGAGGAGGAGGAGGAGGAGGACACGGAGGAGGGAGGCACGGAGGAGGAACGGAGGAGGAGGAGGAGGAAGGAGGAGGAGGAGGAGGAGGAGGAGGGAGGAGGAGGAGGAGGAGGAGGAGGAGGAGGAGGAGGAGGAGGAGGAGGAGGAGGAGGAGGAGGAGGAGGAGGAGGAGGAGGAAGAGGCCTCTACCGAGGCAGGGGGGAGCGGGCTCCGGGCGGGACAGAAGCCAGCGGCCTGGAACTGGCCGCACATATGGCCGATGGATCGGCGACGGGACCCCGATGCGGGGATGGACAGACTCCTCCTCCTCCTCCTCCTCCTCCTCCTCCTCCCTCCTCCTCCACAATTACTCAATATGAAAATACTCTCCCTCTTCCCCTGATGGCGTCCGGGTGATGGCCGCGCATTCTCCGCGTACTGTTTTTTTACACTCAGGATGCCCGGGAAATCCCGGGAAACGACTCTCGCTGAGGCGCCGGCGTCATTTTCGGGCCGAACGCCCCCCGCGTACTTTTTTTTACACACAAGATTCCCGGGAAACGGGTTTTCGCTTGCGTTTTTTCAATGATGCTCTCGCTGAGGCGCCGGCCTCATTTCTGCTCCCGAATCGTTCCGAATCGTGCTCCCGCTGCAGCGTGGGCCTCATTTTCGGATCGGTGTTTGGCCTCCGTCGTTCAGGATGGCGTTCTCGCCCCAGCGCGGGCCTCTTTCTCGCGCGCCCATCCGCCCGCCACCACCGCGCCGCACCACCACCACCACCACCACCACCAGCACCACCACCACCACCACCACCCACCACCACCACCACCCACCACCACCACAACCACCACACCACCACCACCACCACCACCACCACCACCACACCACCACCACCACCACAACCCAGCACCAGCACCAGCACCAGCACCAGCACGAGCACGAGCACCCACCAGCACCAGCACCAGCACCACAACCACGCACACACGCACGCACGCACGCACGCACGCACGCACGTGCACCACCACCCACTACGCACGCGCGCGCGGAGCCACAGGTCCGCTACGACACGCGTCCGCGGATAGAGAAAATCAGCGCCATGGTAAGGGATGGGAGGGAGGGGTAGGACGTCAGATATGACGCGAGCGCACCTAGCTTGTCCTCCTCCCCCCCCCTCCTCCCCTCCCCCTCCCCCTCCCCCCCCCCCCCCCCCCCCTCCCCCCCCCCCCTTTAGTATGACGTGGTTTCGTGAAACGACCTGAGGCCCAAACCTGGCGGACGCAAGCCTGGAAAAGACCGGCCACGGCGCCCTCTCGAGAGCCGAACACGGACAAAAATCACTCATCGACGCGTCACTGTTGGGGGGTTCTGTCCACCCCCGACCGAGGACGGCACCGCAGGTTCTTGGGCGGGGAGGGCTGTCGGGCCCCAGGCGGCGAGGGATGGCAGCGTGGGCGCTGATGCATCCCCCCCGAAGCTTACGGCCCTCCGGACGCTGCCCCCGGCCGACCTCGATCGACATCCGCGGCCGCGCTCGCGACGATGTGCGCGTCGGGCCCTTGCTGTTTTTTGCTCGCGTCGCTCCCTGCGAAGCGGCAGGCTCAGGCCCCCCTCCCCCGGGCACATCGGGACCGACACACGCTCCCTGTTCTGGCCAGACCCTGCTCTTCTGTCGTCTGCCCACCCCACATGCATGTGACGCCAGACCTGTTTTTCTTATACCTTCCCGCACAAGCACGGTGCCAACGACAAACGTCGGGGTAGCAAGGCGTACAGTCAAAAACCCTAATGAGGACGCGCGGCAAGGACGTTTGACCCTTGGAGGCCGAAGCTGGGATTTTTGGGGCGGCGGACGACGCAAACCTCAGGGACGCCAGAGCAAGGAAGAGCAAGGACGCAAGGGTACCCTGAGCAGAGTCGCGCGTCCTTATTAGGGTTTTTGACTGTATGGCACCCATCCCCGGCGCCAGCCGTCCCCCCTTGCCCCAAGAGCCCCCTCCCCCTCCATCCTCTGGGCGCCCGCCGTCGAGCGCGGTGGCGGACGCGCGCGGCAGGCAGCTCCACTGCATCGTGGCCAAGACACGAGGACCGCGTCCGCTGGCCATCGCTCGGACGTCCATTCCCTGTTTTTTTTTGGTCTCGTGCGTGGTTTTTTCGCCAAATGATCAAGGATGCTCCTCGATGGTCCTCGCCGAAGAGAAAATGCACACGTCCGAGCGATGCCAAGGTCCGAGACGGGCGGCGGCCGACCCCTCGGGAAGGCCGCGTCTTGTGCAGCACGGTCGTCCGTCTCGCTTCTTCGAGCCAGGCGCCCGACGTCAACGCGTCCGCAAGGAGCAGGGTCCGGGAGAGGGAGAGTCGGAAGCGGAGGAAGATCTGGCGCCTTCTGGGTGAGCATCCCCTTCCCTCCGTCGACCTTCTCGACCCGTGGCCAGGGCATTCGCCGTAGCCACTGGCCCTTGCATTAACATCCTCTATATCCTCCTCATCCTAGGTCGGCGCTGCAAGGATAGGCCTCCGACGCGCTTCTTCTCTCTCGCTCTGCCTATCTCTGTAGTTCATCGTCTGCTCCCACGTCCCTCTCGCTCTTGCATCCTTCTCCGCCTTCCCTGTCCTCTCGCCTGCCCTCTCCTCCTCCTCCTCCTCCTCCTCTTCCTCCTCCTCCTCTCTCCTCCTCCTTCTCCTCTCCTCCTCCTCCTCCTCCTCCTCCTCCTCCTCCTCCTCCTCCTCCTCCTCCTCCTCCTCCCCCGCATCAACGTCAAGTTTCCCTCATCGCCTTGCCCCTCCATCCTTTTCTATCCTTCGTCCCCTCTCTCTCTCTCTCTCTCTCCCCCCCCTCCCCTCCACTCCTCTCCTTCATTCCCCCCGCCCCTCCCTGTTACGTATCATCCGCGGATCCTCCTCACCTGCTCCCCTCCTCCTCCTCCTCCTCCTGCTCCTCCTCCTCCTCCTCCTCCTCCTCCTCCTCCTCCTCCCTCCTCTCTCCTCCTCTGGTCCTCCTCCCCCCCTTCCCTACTCCAGCCCTCCTGCCACCCTCCAACAACCTTTTCTCCCCCCCTCCTCTGATCCCCCCCCGCGCACCTCCCTCGCGGCCAGGAGCCTGCATCTCCTGATGATGAGCACCCGCCCCTGCGCCCATATGGCCCTCAGCCAGGGACACGCCCGCCCCCTCCCCCCTTCTCGCCATCGTTCGGACGTCCATTCCCGGTGCATTCGTCGATTTCGTGCGTCTTCTTCGAAAGATGACCCCGGATGCTCCTCGATTGTCCTGGCCGAGAAAAACAGGCACACGCCCGAGCGATGCCACGCCTTCACCCCCTCCCCCCGCCATCCATACAGGAAGGCCCGAGGCGCACGAGAGCGACGAAGCACGATGGCTCCTGTGCACGAGGGCGCAGCGACCCCGCGCCAGGGACTCGCGCAGGCCGCTCGCGCGCGACCCTGCGCGGGGAGTTTACTCGTCGGTCGGATGAAGTAGGATGTGAAACCGTGTAAACTCCCCGCTCCCGCGCGACCCTGCGCGGTCGGAAGAAGTAGGTAAAACATGAAAGTAGGAAGGCGGACCCAGTAGACTGGGTCCAGGCCCTCCCCGAGAATAGCAAAGCACAGCGAAAGCATATCGCCCCTTGCAGTTGGAAAGCGCTTGAACGAGAGTGGGACCTGGGAGGCCAGACATATACCCAATCACTTTCAACGACCGGCGTGCACGCTCGGATGGCAACCACCCGTAGGACGCAACTACTGGGAGATTTTCGTCGGAAAAATTAAGGAGGATGAAGCCCCATTTGGGAGCTGTTGCGCCGGAATGGGCCTCGGGCTCAGCGGGATTAAGCCGGATTAAGCGGGATTAAGCGGCATTAAGCCGGTTTAAGCCGGATTGAGCCGGATTTCGGACCAGGGAAAAATCAGAAGTTGACCTCCCAGGAGTTGCATCCGAGCGACCCCTGGCCTCGGCACCTCTTCGAGGCTGAGGCCCCGCGACGGGGGGCCTCCGAGGGCGAGGCTCCGACCAGTGCCGCTTCGACCCGGAGGCCTTGAAGGGGCCCTGGGACACGCAGATAAATACACACAGATAACAGGATTCCCTATATTTTCCCATATTTTCTGGGTTCCTGTCTCCCCCCCCACTTCCCATACTTTCCCATATTTTCTTGGGGAATCGAAGATTAACTATGTCTGCGTGTTTTTTCTCCTCCTGAGGCCTGCCGCCGGGGCCCGGCCTCTCGGGCGCCCCATCCCAGAGGAGCCCCGGCCAGTCCCGTCGCCGGGCAGCCAGCCCCACCGCCCCACCTCTCCCCCCTGCGCCGGAGGCCTCACGAGAAGGTCCTCTGGACGCCCGTGAGGGTCCACGGAGGCCCGCAGAGTGGCCCCCGAGGGCCAGAAGCCACCGAGAGGCCACGCTCCTCGATCGGCTTCCTCTTGGCTCCGCCCCTCTTCCCCTCCCTCCCCCATCCCTCCCTCCCGCCCGCCCGGCTTCGGCGGCGAGCCTGGGGGGAAAATGAGCACGGGCGGGCCTTCTCAGAAGGCTCGGACGTCCCCCAGCCTTCGGGGAAGTTTTCTGAGCCTTCT